TCAGCATAGAGTACCCCTCTTTATTCACACACACTCAGTCTCTAATGCTGTCTGCGTGTGTGTTCTCAAGGGTGCCCCAGGAGTTCAAGGACCCCCAGGACCTTCTGGTGAGGAGGGCAAGAGAGGAGCAAGAGGAGAGCCTGGTGCTGCAGGAGGCCGTGGAGCTCCCGGAGAGAGAGTATGCGACTCAATTCGTTTTCACAATATTATACTGTATACTAATAAGAATGAGCAGGGGAAAGGTGGAGTGGACATTTTAAGGAAATTAAATCAAGCCTTTATAAAGCTGCCTTAAAATATTTGTATTGGCACTTTTTATTCTAAGGCAGCTATGTCTGAACTTAAAATGAGTCATACTTTAATGCATGTAAAACGTTCTTCCCTCCTTGGTTTCAAGACATTATTAAAACAAATATTATCTACCCATATTTTAAATTATCCATAGCATAAGCCATAAATGTTGCACTGAGTTGACACTCATCTGGCTCTTTTAAACCATGTAAGTCAGTTCTTTGTTGCCCCCTGTAGGCCAGAAAAAGTTTAAATGAACTAGGGTAGTGCAGGAGATGTTAGCATTAGGATTAAAGCTAGATTAGATTAGAGCTAAAAGAGTTAACAAAGATGTGTTGATTTTCTCTACAGGGCGGCCCCGGTGGTCGTGGATTCCCTGGCTCTGATGGCCCTGCTGGAGCCAAAGTGAGTCAAATGCACGGACCTTTTTTGTTTGGTTCTGTTTCACTTACAAGCTTTGATATACTTCAGATCAGTTATTGATCAAACTCATTATTTTATTTGAAACACTTTTTGTCTTGACACTTTTTTTTACCAACATCATAGGGTGCCAATGGTGAGCGTGGTGCCCCTGGTGCTGTTGGACCTAAAGGTTCCACTGGTGAGTCTGGCCGCACTGGTGAGGCTGGTCTGCCTGGAGCTAAGGTGAGCATCCTGCCCAAACATAATCGCCAGAAACATTGTTGACTTTGTAATGTTTACTGTGTGAGCCTTGTTCTGATCACTGACTTTCACCTGTAGGGTATGACTGGTAGCCCTGGCAGCCCTGGACCTGATGGCAAGACTGGACCTGCTGTAAGTTTATTTACATTATTATATTTTCCTTATAATCTACAACTTCATTTAAACATTAACCCATTGTTTTATAAAAGGGAGCTTCTGGACAAGATGGCCGCCCTGGACCCCCTGGCCCTGTTGGAGCCAGAGGCCAGCCTGGAGTCATGGGATTCCCTGGACCCAAAGGAGCTGCTGTGAGTAACGTCGCTACTGCTACACAGCATCACTACATTTTGAAATTAGAAATAGGCCGAATAAATTGTCTCCACGTATTTTGCTAAAGTGCTTTTCTCCTCCTGTGTGTAGGGTGAGGGTGGAAAGCCCGGTGAGAGAGGTGTCATGGGACCATCTGGCCCTGGTGTAAGTTGTTTAAAGTCTGCCTTCTTGTTGTCCTGCACTCTAAAGTTGAAATTGAATGCATAACAACTACAGCCTGTGTGTCTAAAAGCCTGCAATCTATCTACCCAGGGTGCCGCTGGAAAGGACGGTGATGTTGGTGCTCCAGGCCCCTCTGGACCTGCTGTAAGTAAAATGAATACAAAAACCCCACATCAAGCTGAATCCCTCAATGGCCTGATAGTGTCTTACCACAAATTACAAAAAAAAATCTATTATCATCTCAACAGCAAGCCATACTCCAAAAATGCCTTACCTTTGGTAACTTTCTGTTAGCTGTAACAGCTCTACTCTTGCTCATCCATAGGGTCCTGCTGGTGAGAGAGGAGAGCAGGGAGCTGCTGGAGGTCCTGGATTCCAGGGTCTTCCCGGACCCCAAGGTGCCATTGGTGAGAGTGGAAAGTCTGGAGAGCAGGTAATGACCAAGATATGATCAACTGTGTTTCTGAATCACTTTCATACCTCATAATCAGTGAACCTATTAATTGCCTCTCTCTCTATTTAGGGTGTGCCCGGTGAAGCTGGAGCCCCAGGACCTGCTGGATCTAGAGTAAGTCACTTGTGGTCATCATACCTATCAAGATAATCTTGAGGGATCAAGTATGATTCTTTTTCGTGACTTATGACTTACCTAACCCTCTGACACTACTTTGTCTCAGGGTGACAGAGGATTCCCTGGTGAGCGTGGTGCCCCTGGCGCTCTTGGACCCGCTGGTGCCCGTGGATCCCCTGGATCTGCTGGAAACGATGGTGCTAAGGTAAACCCCATGAAGGGAAACAATCTCCTGTTAAGTTGTCCTTGATTTGATGTTTAACCTCTTGCTCTCCTTTTCCTCAGGGTGATGCTGGTGCCCCTGGTGCTCCTGGAGCTCAGGGTCCTCCTGGACTGCAGGGAATGCCTGGTGAGCGCGGTGCCGGTGGTCTTCCAGGACTGAGAGGAGACAGAGTGAGTTGTTACAACAATATTCCTATAACTCCCAACATTAGCAGTACAGAGAATTGTGTGTCTCTTGTTACAGTGATGTACATTACCAAAGCATGACTCTTAGACCACTTACAGGATTGTGAGTTTCAGTATCTTTACAGCATGTTTAGCACAAAGATTGCCATCACCATCACACCAACTGCAAATTCATTTTTATTCACGAACAACAAACAGCACCACCCACAGGAGTCTCAAAATATTACAGGGACTGATGTATGATCACCACTTGTATAACTCAGACTCCAACTTATATCACAGGGTGACCAAGGAGGCAAGGGTGTTGATGGCGCTCCTGGTAAGGATGGTGTCCGTGGTTTGACTGGACCTATTGGACTTCCTGGACCTGCTGGAGCCTCTGGAGACAAAGGAGAGCCTGGCGCCCCAGGAGCTGTTGGACCTTCCGGAGCCCGCGGAGCCCCTGTAAGAATCTGTCTTGTTCTTTAGGGCGCAGAAGACGAAGCCTCAGTTTAAAGTTCTCAAGAACTTTTTGCAATCCTTGGCTGACTCTTCCTTTTACTTTCTCAGGGTGAGCGTGGAGAGTCCGGACCATCTGGACCCGCTGGATTCGCTGGACCTCCTGTAAGTATTCAGAAACGTCCTAGCTTCTTTCACCAACTATTTTCCTTTTGTTTATAGCTTCAAGATAGAACTGAGGATTCTTTCTTTTTCACTCTTTATCCACAGGGTGCTGATGGACAGCCTGGAGCTAAGGGAGAGGCTGGAGATAATGGTGCTAAGGGAGATGCTGGTGTCCCCGGCGCTGCTGGACCTACTGGTGCCCCTGGACCTCAGGTTTGTAAACCAACACATTCACACCTTGTACAGTAAGAGTGTTGAAAAAGCATCAGCCTGCCATTCTCAATAGCTACATTACCTGGCACTGATTCTCAGATGTTCAATGACCAAGTGGGAAAATATCCATTGTTGAAAAATGAAGCAAATGCGGAAGTGCAAAAAAACTACACTTGAATGTCAACTTGAGGCTTGCTCAAAAAACCATGAATCCCCATTAGGTTTCACATTGAATTGCGTATTTTGACAGACAAAATAAACATGTTTAACAGCATGGTACAAAAAAGCTAATGTCTTTATACACACACTATATGGGGAGTACATTTTGCATTGAAGCTGTTAGCCAGGAGGCCTTGTGCCCAGCTCAGTCTTAGCTTAGTCCGTGCTAGGTAGACTGAAAGTTAGTGTGCATTTCCAATATTGCGACCCACTATCCACTTCAATGTTTTACTCAACATTGTGTCCTTTCAGGGTCCCATTGGAAACACTGGCGGTAAGGGAGCCCGCGGACCTGGTGGACCTCCCGTAAGTAATCACACTCTTTTGCATTAACATTGATTTAATACTGCCAAATCCCAGACACATTCAGCTTACTGATCTCTGTTTGTCTCCCCAGGGTGCAACTGGCTTCCCTGGTGCTGCTGGCAGAGTTGGACCTCCCGGCCCCTCTGTAAGGCTTTCTCTAATATTGTAATAGCGCTTCCTGTTCCTGGGACAGCTCTAAACGTCCAGGATAGTTTAAAGCAGTGTTTTATTCCTCTCATAGGGCAACGCTGGACCTCCCGGACCCTCTGGACCTTCTGGCAAGGAGGGACTAAAAGGAAACCGTGGTGAGACTGGACCTGCTGGTCGCACTGGTGAGATGGGCGCTGCTGGACCCCCAGGACCTGCAGGAGAGAAGGGAGGCCCTGGTGCTGATGGTGCTCCTGTAAGTTATCTTTTATTCAAAACTATCAGAACGCATTAAAATGCTGGTGAAATTTGCCCCTTCTGTTTTATTTTAAAACACATTAAATGATTGGTTTTCAAAATATTTACTAACCAATTTTACCCCTAAATCATAGACAAAAAAGTATTCAAAATTACAAATGACTGCTTGCAGACCTTTTCAGCTTCTGTAACCCTACATCTTGATGTCTAAGCACTTTCTCTTTGACTCTCCTTGTTGCCCTCCACAGGGTAGCTCTGGTCTGCCTGGACCTTCAGGTATTGCTGGACAACGTGGTATTGTTGGTCTGCCTGGACAGAGAGGAGAGAGAGGTTTCCCTGGCATGCCCGGACCTTCTGTAAGTTCTTGGTGTTACTCTATGAAGTGTACTTGATAGTGACTTTAATGAAGCCAGAATCTAGAAGCCTTCAACAACATTTATGATGTTGTAAAGCACACAGCAGTTAAAATCCAGAAAATTCAAATCAGTGTTGAAATAACTTTCAACACTAAGCAAACCATGATAGACTGACTGTGTCTGGGTCATTCACAGGGTGAGGTCGGAAAACAAGGTTCTTCTGGACCCGGTGGTGAGCGCGGACCTCCTGGACCCATGGGACCCCCTGGAATGGCTGGAGCCCCCGGCGAGGTTGGACGTGAGGTATATAGAAACAATTTTAGCCTTACACTAAGGCTCTCTTTTTGATTTGTATACACTAAAGTCTATATCAGTTAACCCTGAAGGTGTTTCCTAATCAGTCAACCTTCTTTCTTTAGGGAAGCCCTGGTAGCGAGGGATCATCTGGTCGCGATGGACCTGCTGGACCCAAGGTGAGTTCACATGACATCTTTGCCAACTCACCATTGCAGAAGAGCCAAGGCATTCACAAATGAAATGGTTGACAACTGATGTAGATTTGGAATCCTAAGAGTTCGATACATAAGAGATTGCAGCTCTTGCTTCTTCTGCAGAATAGATCTTGAAAAGTCAGAAAGGTTTTTTAAGGATCTGACACAAGCGTTTGGAGGACCAGCATGCAAGATAGTTGAGCTAACAGCATGTTACCTTCTTCGTAACTTCTTCTGGATACTGAGCATTTGTTGTGGTATAATAGCTGAAAAGCTATTATATAAAAAATCACCAATAAAGCTGCCAGCTATACCATCTGCAAGTATTTTTTGTGTGAAGATAAAAGTGGCATGAATCATTAAACCTTTTTACATGTGAAGTTACTTTTGTAAAAAATATATTTCCAAACAACGCTTGTTTTATCTCAGCTTTTTTAACTACAGTAACCCTTCAAATCCCTTAAAAATAGGACAAGTAAAGGTGAAAAAAAATGTCTTTGCATTTCAGGGAGAACGTGGAGAGTCTGGCCAATCTGGAGCCCCTGGTGCCCCTGGACCCTCTGGTGCCCCCGGACCTGTCGGACCCGCTGGAAAGAATGGAGACCGTGGAGAGACTGTGAGTGTCATGACTTTTTATTTTTATTCAGTGTGAGTACAATTGTCCTGAAGAAATCAAAAACGCAGATGATGATACTAGAGCTACTGTAGGTGAGAGCATAGATTGTTTTGAGGCAGCCTGCCTTGCCATCGCCACATTTTACATTTGACTTTTGGAATTTTCTTTCAGGGACCTGCTGGACCCGCTGGCTCTGCTGGCCCTGCTGGACCTCGTGGCCCTGCTGTAAGTCACAACATCACCTCTTTTGAGAGACCACTTAAATCAAATGAACCATGCTTGCAGAGGAAATAAATCCAACACCCTCACTCGAGTTAATCCTCTTTTCAGGGAGCTCTTGGTCTCCGTGGAGACAAGGGAGAGTCTGGAGAGGCTGGAGAAAGAGGCATGAAGGGACACAGAGGTTTCACTGGAATGCAGGGAGCCCCTGGACCTTCTGTATGTAACTCTAAAGTTATACCTAAAATTAAACAGCATATTCAATATACAGACTTAAAGCCTAACATCTATTCTTAACAATGCAGGGATCTTCTGGAGAGACAGGACCCGCCGGTTCTGCTGGACCCGCTGGACCTAGAGTGAGTTAACTAACCTTAAGCAGTTCAAAATGTTTTGCATTTATATATTACCAAGGTCTTGAAGTGTTTGGAGTGAGTGGCATTCAGAGACTTTAAAGTTCTTCTTAATGATGTCTGCAGGGAGCTTCTGGATCTGCTGGTTCTCCTGGAAAGGACGGTATGTCTGGTCTTCCTGGACCTACTGGACCCCCTGGACCTCGTGGACGATCTGGAGAGATGGGACCTGCTGTGAGTCTGACTAAATGTTTATCTACACATCCATTTATCTCCTGACTCACTTTGAGGGCCTCACTGAGGAAATGTATGACATCAGCCTATGACAACAGTAAATGAACCTCCATCTTCTTTTCCTCCTCTTTCCTCTCTCATCTGCCAGGGTCCTCCCGGACCTCCTGGACCCGCCGGAGCTCCCGGTGCCCCTGGTGGCGGATTCGACCTTGGCTTCATCTCCCAGCCTCAGGAGAAGGCTCCTGATCCCTTCCGCATGTTCCGTGCTGATGACGCTAACGTTCTCCGCGATCGCGACCTGGAGGTTGATAGCACCCTGAAGAGCCTGAGCCAGCAGATCGAACAGATCCGCAGCCCTGATGGAACCCGCAAGAACCCTGCCAGAACCTGCCGTGACCTCAAGATGTGCCATCCTGACTGGAAGAGCGGTGAGTAAAGGGATTTAGAGGAGGTGGAACATGTTCATAACAGTATATAGCAGCATTTCGGATGAAAACTGGAAGACAAATACCAGACTTTTCTGATCTTTGCCTCTCTTGACTCTGCCCTCTTCAGGACAGTACTGGATTGACCCTGACCAGGGCTGCACTCAGGATGCCATCAAGGTCTACTGCAACATGGAGACCGGAGAGACTTGCGTAACACCAACTCAGCCTGAGGTTGCCAAGAAGAACTGGTACGTCAGCAAGAACATCAAGGAGAAGAAGCACGTCTGGTTCGGAGAGGCCATGTCCGACGGATTCCAGGTAAATAATTGAAGCACTTTCTCTCTCCTTTTTCTTAGCCTGACTTGGTCTTCTCTTGTTCAGTTCGGCATCTAAATCCATCTCTACCAGTCTCTAAAATGTCCTCACTCCTCTTGCCTCCACAGTTCGAGTACGGTAGCGAGGGCTCTCAACCCGAGGATGTCAACATCCAGATGACCTTCCTGCGTCTCATGTCCACTGAGGCTACCCAGAATGTCACCTACCACTGCAAGAACAGCGTTGCCTACATGGACGCCAGCACTGGCAACCTCAAGAAGTCCCTGCTCCTCCAGGGCTCCAACGAGATCGAGATCAGAGCAGAGGGCAACAGCCGTTTCACCTACAGCGTCCTGGAGGATGGATGCACGGTGAGAAAACTTATGTTGATTCTCTCCCACAAGTCCCATTGACAACTAAAAGGTTGCTAAATGCTTAATGCTAAACCGTTAAAACTGGGAAACCAGTTACTTGGAAGTTAACGGTCAGGGATCACCAATCAACAGATATTTTCCCTCCCTGGTGGTACACAAACACGTGTGAGTCAGATAGAGAGCAAATTAAGAATCACAGTTGACAAAAACAAAAATGCATGCTAGCTATTGCAACTAGTCTTGCTCCTTATTTGCTTTGGTCAAACGTAAAAGCTAAAATGGAGATTTTTCCCATTTATTTCCTAGGAATCACTTAGAATGTCGATACTTATACGCCTTTCTTCTTTTCTCCCCTTCAGTCACACACCGGTACATGGGGCAAGACAGTCATCGACTACAAGACATCGAAAACATCTCGCCTTCCCATCATTGATATCGCTCCTATGGATGTTGGTGCTCCAGACCAAGAGTTCGGCCTTGAAGTTGGACCTGTCTGTTTCTTGTAAAAAGAGAAATCTGGACTTGAAATTGTTGTTGTGTGTGTGTGTGTGTGTTTTATTTTTCCTAGCAGTCATCTCTCTCTCTAAAAGAAGCCCCACCAAAACGTTTCTCTATTGCCATTTTTCTGAAATCGACCCTCCGCTCGTGATTCTACGAGTTTCCATTCGGCCGTTGTTCCAATGGTCCACTTTTGCCTGAAACCTGCACTTCAACAAGATGGCGGCAATGTGGCAGAGTCTGCATTGTCGTGTTCGGGACCACTACTTTTTTTTTGTTTCTGACTCTTGTTTTGTTTTTTTTTGTTTTTTTTATCATCACCAACACCAAGGATCCTGTAAAGAAGACGTTTTGTTTCACTGGCAACAAGAAAATAATATATGCTTCTGTAAAGTGTAAAAATTTACTTCCCCTCTTCAACCAGCCGAACCAGGCCCTTCTGGAGTTTACAGAAACCAACAGAAACACAAAGGTGACTTTTGTATTTTTATACACCACTGCAGTGAGAGGAATGAAAGGACAGTCCCAACAGACAGAACCCAATTGCTTTGTAACACGTTTCCGGTGTTGATGAATAAACGGTGAAACTGACAGCCATGTTTGTCTCTGTTGTTCTGCCCATCCCTTCCACCTTCTAAGACAACACTGACAACTCCCTCCTCCTCATCCGCTGATGTTGTAGCTGTTGTGATTTGATTGTGTTGTGGTTGCTTTCCTGTTTGTTCCTTTCAGTTTTACCCTTTCTTTTAAAGAAGTCACATTAAAACCACCAGCAGAGAAACATGGGTTCAAACCTCTTTTTTTGAAAAGAAAAAAAAAATCCTCTGGCTACCTCACAAAAGCAAGGATTTCATTTTGTAAAAAAAAAAAAAGGGGGGGGTGTGGGGGCCCAGTGTTTTTGAAGTGATGCCTGTAGATGTTGTGGCGGTTGGTGGGGTAGTCGGCGTTTACTGACTTTTAACAGAAGCAGGAACAGCTCAAACTTAAGGTGCTATTCTTTCTTTGAGGTCACTCTGAAGTAGCAGGGCCCTCTTGGTGCTAAAAGTCAACCACATCTTTTACTCTTGGAGTCTAGGATGAGACAAACTTGTCTTGTTTGCAGTCTTGGTAGAGCTGGCGGTCAATTACTTGCTCTGTCTCGGAGCAGCATATGCTCTGAATTTGGTTTTGATGTTTTCAAACTCCCCAACACCTTTCTGTCGTACAAATTCTTCTCCTCCCCTTCATCCACAAATCTGTTTGGAGTTTGTTTCTTATTTGGCAATCGCAAAGAGATTCTTTTTTTTTTTCAAAATGCACAAGAAACAGCCATCAGTTAAGAGTTTGTGAGAGAAGACAAACACACCATTGAGTGAAAAACAACACAAGGATCTGTACCTATTTTGTATATGTATAATAAATTGAGATGTTTTTAATTATTTTGAATGCTGAAATAAAGCATGTTAAGTGGTCTAACATTGAATCCTTCCTAATTCCCTGAGTGACTGGCTGATTACCCCCTTGTGTCTTGAATTAAAGCAGCTTTTTTACCTAAGTTTCAGTTGTACAGTGACTGATTTAGGAAACAGGAGTTACAAAACACCTTAAAAATGTTTTTGTTGTTAGTGTGTTGTTTAATTTGTACCTGTGGACGGTATAAATTGTCTGCCACTGTGGCAGGTTATTCCCTTTTCAGAGCTAAAAAAAAAGATTCTTGTTTTCTGAGAGCTCATGATGGAACGTAAATACCCTGAGTCACTGTGACATTTTGCTTCTTGATTGTTGATGGTTTAAAACATTTGAAGAACTATTGCCCCCAGAGGTGATCAGTCAAATTGTCAGCCTCTTCTTAAATCATTAGCATGCTGTAGCCAATATAAAATTAGCAGCTCAATGCAGCTTGACTAATTTGACAGCTTGTTGTATATCTGGGTCAGAAAACAAAAATAACTGTGGCCTACCTCCCACTTGATGGAGACTCATTGTTGTCAAGCTCTCTCTTAGTCCAAGTGATGTTTTAGTTTGGCTGTTAAATCCATTTGGAAAATAAGTATCCGGAAAATCCATAATCCAACAGCAAAACAAAAGTTTGTCTAGTATTCCAGCTGTAAAGAGAATGATGTTTGCAAGCGATAATCCTGTTCCCACAGCACGGCAGAGCATCTGCACCGCTCAGGCAGCATGACTGACTGCTAGCAGAGTGACCTGCTTTGGGTTTAGCTGTTGGCATTAGCCTGGCTTTACAAAGACACTGATTGTCCACCTTGAGAGAGGCAGCTATACCCAGGAGCAGCGGATAGGTTTGCAGTCCCAGCGGGAAACTGAATTATTTTTGCAAGAATTTGGGTCTTTATTTGAGGCCTGGGCAGAGGAATGTCGTCCTCTCTGGTTGCAGACACAGAGGAGGCTCTGTTTGCTGAGAGGGACTCACTCAGCAGCTGACTTTACACTGAGGGTAAATATCAAAGGGATGTGGGTGAGGTGAGGCTGGGTAAAAGCAGGACAAAAAAAGGAGAGGGAGAAACATGAGATGGATTTTAGTGATAGTTTATACGAAGACACTAAAGTTGTTGTTTAGTCACGAGGATAGTTTTGTTAGTAGTTAAGATTGTGAAGGACCTGCTGCTGAGATTTTTTCACATCAACCCCTATTATTGTAGCTGATGTATCAGGAATTCTTACTTGAATCTGTCAGGCCTAAAAATTCAGATAAGAAATGTTTTAACATGTGTTGCTCTACCTTCCCCTTCACCCTCTTTTTCATAGAGAAGCGAAGAAGATAAGAACAAAGACAATTCCTGTTTTTCTCCTAACTTTATTTTAGCACCCAACAAGCATTACTCCTCCTCAACCAAATCTAGTCTCAACTACTTCATCTGACAACTCCCTTTTACTGTCTTTCACAAACTCAGTCCCTGCACCCCCAGCTCTCCCAGTGATGAGACGCTGATCTTGCTATGAACCATCTTCATCATCACATTTCTACCAGACGAACCCAAACTTTTAATCATCACTGTTCAGCTTCTGCCCCTTATTCTGCATATCCAAAAGACTTATCAAGTCAAAGTCAAAGTCAAAGTCAACTTTATTGTCAATTTCAAAATATGCCAGAATCAAAATTGTGTTTTTCTCCGTCCCACGGTGCAATACAACCAAAATAAGGTAAAATAGATCAAATGAAATGAGGTAAAATAAGATAAATAATATTTACAGTAATAAATTCTAAATTGTTCAAAAGGTACAAAATGGTAAATAAAATAAAATAAAATTTAAACAAAAAGTAAACTTGTGCAATATGTGCAATGTGCAGTAAACTGAGTGTACTTTTGAATAGTTAGCTTCAGAGTTATTAGTCCAGAGTTCTTGGTGGCAAACAGGAGGGGGTTTCAACATCCAGTGTTTGTGGGGGCAGAGGGGAAGGAAGGAAGAGAGGGGAGAGAGTTAAGCTTCCTGACAGCTTGGTGGAAGAAGCTGTTTCCCAGTCTGGTGGAGCCGGCCCGCAGGCTGCGGTACCATCTCCCCGATGGCAGGAGGCTGAAGAGGCTGTGTGAGGGGTGGGTGGGGTCACGCACAATGCTGGTTGCTTTGCGGGTGAGGCGGGTACCGTAGAGGTCTTGTAATTTAATTGGATCACAGTGCGAGAGTTACTAACCTTATTTTATTTGTTTATTACCAGTTTTTATTCATCCTCATCCACTTACATTTCTGTTATAAAGCTTATTTTCTTTGCTCTCGTATTATTCCGCCGAGGTAGGCTAAATATGTTCACGTGGTTTTTAAAGAGGTGTGTTGTTACCATTAATGGTTTAGTGGAGGCGTTTCTGAATGCAAATGTCCCCGAACATGCATGAGCCTGCTGGTTAAGAACATGTGGGATTTATCAACACTGATTACCGGTGTGCGTACAAACGGCGTCCGCATGTTTGATAAATACGGATTTTTTTGGACTTAGAAACGTTCTAAATTTCATTCGTAAGACCGAACTTAGAACACTTTCTACGCACTGTTGATAAATGAGGCCCCTGGACTTTTACGGCTTGAATCTTTAGTTTGTACAGAACTGTTCTGATATTTTGCCGTATCAGTCTAGAACTAATGACAGAGCCTTCCGTAAGTACTGTGTTTTAGTGTGCAGCACTACACCTACACCACCTCTTACAAGTTGTGTATGTGACTTTATTTGGAGCCAGCCTCAAGTGGACACTCAAGGAACTGCAGTTTTTGATGATGCTTTCTTTCAGAAGGTGAGGTGAAACAGACGGGGCTCTATGTTTTCATATGGCCTAAAGTTTTTTCTGGCAGCTTTTTATGAGTGTCAGTGGTGTGAGTCCAAGATATTTGAAGGATTGAACATTTCAACAGTAGCATTGTGTTAGTGGGTAACCAGCGTTAGTGATGTTCATTTCTGTGCATGTGTGAAGTGAGACATGGTGTGCTGGGAGTCTGTAACTGACATATTGTTATTAAGGAGTGCAACTATGGCTGTGTCGTCTGAGTATTTGAAGTATGTGGTAACTGCAAAAAAAAGGAAAACGGTGCAGGAGGATTAAACTCTACACACCTTGATGGAAGACTTTCTTATAGGTCTCAAGAAAAAGTTAGGGAAACATGTCTTCAATATCAGACACCAGTACACTGTTCGTCGTGGTGTCAAGGAAAATGCCAGTGAAGATGAGATTGTCCTGCTCATCGACTTTGCAAAGAACTTCCTCTGCAAATACAGCAGTGAAATCCAAGCAGTTCATTTTGGGGATGCACACAAACAGGCCTCACTTCACACTGGTGTGGCCTAAAGCAAGAAAGGTGTCATTTCAGTCTGCTCTATCATCTCCTCTTTTCACCATGACCCCTTAGCTATCTGGGCTCATCTAGCAAAAGTTCTTACTTACCTCAAGGACCAACATCCCTCTGCTTCAGTACTGCATGTTGTCAGTGATGGGCCGACCACACAAAGACAAATGTCTACCTTTTAACCAACATGTCATATCGATGACTTGATAGATGGAAGGCCATACCAAATGCTCCAGTGCTGTTTGAGGAGCTTCAGCAGCAAAAATCCACTAAAACTATTCTATGTTGAGCCAGAAAACATTGAGGAAATGGATGTGCACGTGCCATCTCAGTTGCAATTCGCGGCACAATGAAAATGCATCAGGTAATGGTTTTCAGTGCTCTCCCCAACACATCATTTCAATGTCACAGAGGACCATGAGCTTCTTTTTCTTGGCACCTCATGGCTGTAAATACTTCAATCCTCAACCAGCACATCACATCCTGACACATACCATAATTTAGGTCTGCAAATTCTGGACTTACATGAGGGGCTAATTGGTCAGCTATGATGGAGATGTGTACCCGGGCATTATGCAAGATGATGATGGTTGCAGCGGTGCTCTTGTTAAAACAATGGGACGCATAGGTTACTATTGGCCATCAAGAGATGACATCATCTGGTACCAACCTGTGAATGTAATAGGCCTTATCCCTGATCCTTTACCAGTGACAAACCATCACAAGGAGATTGAAGTGTCAGTCTGGAAAGAACGTAGTAAAAACTCTTGATTATATTTAGTCTTTAATGATATTCAGAAACTCACACAAACATCTGTTCAACACACAATAACTTTATAGTGCTTTTAATGCTGAAGTCCACACATGTACTAAAATTTCAAATCATCTTCTATAAAGTTGACACACGCACACACTAAAAATACAAGGAACATTTTAGCGAGTCCTATAAAGTAACAACTTTTCAACTGAGAGACCTATTTGATTTTCTAAAATATATCTATCACTGTCAATTAATTGTTGTGATTCTGATATACAATAAAATAATAATTTAAATTAACATTGTCTATATTTTGAATTGTACATGCACAATTTGTTAGTTTTGTCTTGTAACAGTTCAACAAACATGTTTGTATTGTTTTAGAGTTCTATGAAGTAAGTCATACAATACTGTCAATCTAAGAGACCGGTTAGATTTTTAAGAATGTTTTAAAATGAATTAATGTCATTTAGATTTTTCTGTTATTGCTTGAACATATTTGTATCAACTCATATTTTGCATTTCAATAGAAGTATTTCAAATAAATGTGTTCACTGTTTTCAAATTAAGATTTTTTATATCAACATACATAAATTGTAATTTCCACAACACCCTGTCATTTCCACCACTGCACACATTTTTTGAAAATGTTCTAATTAAACATTAAAAACTTCTCAAAAATGTGTTAGATCCTACTCTACTTAATGTAATATTATTTATTTCATAATAGTATTTACCGGGCAAGGCTTTTACCGGCGATTGCGACCTCTGTTTCTTTAATTCAAATCCGGCAGTTTCAAATGCAAGGTGTCTTTGTGTTGTTTCCTTCGTGGCCTTGCTTTCCTGACTATGTCATCGTTTTTCTTTGTTTAACTCTATTGTGAAAGGAACACGCATATCTCACCTAGAAAGCATTGTTGGAACCACG